ATAGCTTTCGCACTTTAATTTGGATTATTACAATTATTTCAATTCTTTCTTATTACTTAATTTGAATTGTTGAAAATGGATAAATTATTCTAACGTTGGCTTGCCTAGCAAGTGAAATGTTGGGCGTCATCACGGCCTCAACAGTGGAAATTTTGGGTTGTGACACTACTATACGCTTTAGTAAATTGTTATATAGTAATTGACTTATTTTTATTCGTTGGCTTATAATTGGGGACCCCACGCACTGCTAGTAGTGAATATAAATTTGAAAAGTACCCATCCTCAAAGAGTATGAATTCTTGAGACTAATTTTCACCAAGCATCTGAAGAAATGGAGGAAAAACATGGGAACTTGTAACTTTATGACTAAAACTTAGTTGATTTTAATACTTCCTTTTAAAGGGGCCCATGATTGAATGAACACTTTTCAAAAATTCATGTGATTGTCCGAATATTAGATCTTTCTCAAACAACCGTCTCTTTATTCCCTAAATCGTAATATTCAGTTGTTTAATTCCATTTTTTTTATTGTTGTTGTTTTAGTCATTTGCTGCGATAGATATGTTGTTTTCTTGATTGTGTCCCAAGAAAATCAGCAGCATATCTTACCGAACAATATTAAATAATAAATAACAAGTATATGTCACGAGCTTTATTGTTATCTTTGTATGACTTAAAGATCACGGGTTCAAACCGTGAAATTAGCTGTTGATGTTTGTATCAGGGTAGGCTGCCTACATTATACCTTTTGGATGAGGCCCTTCCACGGACCTTACGTGAATGCGGAATGTTTTGTGCACCGGACTGCCCTCTTTTTATAATATGAAAATAAAAAAGAAAATAGAACTTATAGAGGAGACCTTGACCTCAAAAGTACTTACATTGAAAAATTGAAATGGCTTTATACGTTAAATGTTCAATAGATTACTCTACGTGCATGGTATTCATGTAAAATTGATACAATTTGTACCTTTCAAGAAGTAAATAGTAGGCTTAACTTTTGTTACAAAATAATCATGATCCTATATATATAGAGCAACTCATCGTTGGTATTACGAGTTTAACTTTTGTTCTTCATAGGTGTAAGTTTTTATACCATCAGATCACGGTAATCTACGACATATTACACAAATGCCACTCGATTGAGAGTTATATATATAACTTAAATCGTTCTATTAACAAAAATGAACTTCTCTTGCTTGAAGGGATAGTAGGAGGGTGGATATGCTATCTCTCTTTCCTGTGATTTTAATTTAAAGAATAATAGAGGGATCATGCAATAAAGGAAACAAGCATCTAAATCATTCAACTGTTCTCTCTTTCGTGGAAAAGAAATTTAAGAGATGCATTTGTTTCCTTTTTCCTTTGTTTCGGCCTCCACATGAAAAAAAAGAAGAGGAAGATGGATCTCGTGGTATAAGCTCTTTCTTGACTCCTCTTCTAACTTTTTCTCCCCATATAAGAGGAAAATACGCGATTATTCTTGTATTCTATTATCAACAGAAGCGGATCCGGGAGTTGACATTTATGGGTTCCTATATCAAATTTAGGTAAACTAATAATAATAATCGAATTCACAATCAAATATTTAGAAATATTTAGTGAACGTCTTAATATAAAAACAGATTCTGAGCAAAAGTTACTGGGTTCCGTGAATCCATAGGTCAAACTCTAGATCTGCCCTGATTATCAACCAATCAGTACGTAACCAGCTAATAATCATTACTAAAATTTGTGCATCAAAATCAAATCACCAATTGATTAATCACCATGTTATTGCTTAGATTTGCACATTCATGTTAGACATTTGAAATTTTAATCACAGCAGTATCATTGACGAATTCAATCGCTTTTGATTATTTTCACACATGTCTGGCTCATCACTGACCTGTCACATTTTGTGAATCATGACAAAAAGTTTCGACTATATATTTATTAGCAGATATATGAGCAGTTCCGATTTATGGATTATTTAATTGATGTTAATAGCAATATGTATTGGACTAATCAATTAGCTCCTCTTAATAACTTAATAACTTAACTGTGAAGCAGCTCTGTAAAAAAAAAATGCTAGTTACTATTCGATGGGGATAGTTATATATATATATATNGTTAATTACATTAACTAAGAGAACCACTATCTTCATTTGAGAATGATGTAAACTAAGAGTCCAACAAGCTGTATAGAGAACCTGTTTTTTTATTAGTTCTCACAGAACACACAACAGTAAGTAAATAACACAATAATATTTACGTGGAAATTAAACTTCTAGCTCATGGAATTAAAAATCACGACCTATACTCGTAAGATTTCAACTTCACTAACTGAGCAACTTTAGATTACAACCTATTATAACCTATGAATTAAACTCTTAATCCATCACCTACTAACAATAACTATATTGTAAGCCTCTTTGTAATAACTCTATTACAAAGCTAACCACTTGGCTAACTCTAGTCAACACAAACACAAGGTTTATGGTTTACAAAGTGTCCTACGGGATGCTTCTAAATAAGCTGAGTAGGAGTTACAAGTGAATAACATAAACAAAGACACAACAATACTAAGGACACACGATGTAATCAATGTTAGGATCTGGTCCTTCATTATGTTGTTTTGTTCTTCAATGCCTTTGAGAGAATAAAGGCGGCTGCACACTTGAGAGTGAATAATGATTTGAGGTTTGTAAGTGTATGTAATCTAGGAGTGTTCAAACCGAACCGGAAAACCGCACCAAACCGAAAAACCAAACCAAACCGATTAAAAACCCGACTAGGTTTGGTTTGACTTGGTTTGGCATTGAGTAAAAAACCCGAACCAAACCGACAAATAAATATTAATTTTATTTATATTTTAAAGATTTTATAGTGATTTTTCTTTAGAAAATGTAGAAATATTTGGGATCCTCTCATGTATTAACCTTGAAAGCGTAAATTAACGAAAAATTATTGTTAGACGACTAAGAAAATAACTATCATGTGTTACTAAAAATAATTTTCCCATTAGATATTTTAATAGATCATATGTTTGACAATTTTTTCCATATTTACTAAACATATATTCACTTATCAAAACTTTATCTATAATTTTAATAAAGTATGATTGAAATAATATTCATGTAACAAAAAAACCCGGAAAACCCGGAAAATCTGATAAAACCGAACCAATCCAAACCGATATAATTGGTTTGGTTTGGTTTTGATAAAAACCGAACCAACCCGGTCCATGTACACCCCTAATGTAATCCCTTGCCGCATGTTGGTAATATATAAGTTAGGTAATCAAAGATGATGCAAGGGAGTGTCCGGTACACACCATGCTTCAACAGTGTTGATGTATTGTTGCGTGTGCAGTGCAACAGCTTTAATAACTGTAAAAGTTGACTTGCATTATGACCGAAAGAATTGATATCTGTTGTTCCCTTAATTGATTTCTTTGAAACTTGTTCCAGACATTTGACTTGTTGTTTTGAACGCAGAGAGGCTAGTAGTATCAGGTTCCCTATCTGGTTCTCATATGAAGTTTGTTAACTTATCAAAACAAAAAAGTACATAAATCATCAATTTCTCCCTTTTTGATGATGACAAACTTAGAATTGATATTCCCCATGAGAATCATATCTCCATATTGTTCCTCCTGTAGAATAGCCATATTTTCCCTGAGAACCTATTTCTCCCCTTCAATTTTCTTTCCCTTTTAGGATCATAAAACGACAGACAAGTAAATGTAAAAAGAAGCCCAACAAAATTCACTCATACCACTTGTGTGCACAAAACATAGCAAAAAATAGAAAACAAGAGTATAAGATGCATTTAAAAAGGACTAAGATGCTCATTAATTTAAGAAGAAAAAAAAATAAGTAGCAGTACCATCATTAAAAAAAATTTACAAAATAAACATTACGAGAGTACCACAACCATAGGGAACTAACAAAAGGGACATTGACAAAAGGACAAATTAGGGGACACTAGAAGAGGAGGGAAAGCCGAGGGAGCAAGAGCCTTGAGGAGACCATCCACACGAGTATTAGCAGCTCTCCGTTCATTTATCGCCTGCTCTTTTAGGTTCTCCACATGTTTCCTCAACTTTGTATTTTCAGCCGTCAAGCGGGCAATTTCTGCACCCTAAGCACTGCTAGAACCAGGTTTCGTGCTGGCTTCATTGAGCTTACCTTCAAGAATGGTATTCTGGGACTTTAGCCTCATGATTTCTTCATTAAGAGTACTCTGAGCATTGATGAGTTGAGAGATTGTAGAACTGCTGCTGAATCCCCCCTTTTTGCCAATACACTCGCACTCCTCCAAGGTGTTCATCGAGAACATTTGCTTACGAGTTCCTACAACTGCTCTCCCCTAGGGGACTTCAAAACATTCAAAAACTTTTGTAAGTAGGAACCAAATGGCAACCCATGGTTTCCATCCTTGAAGTATGCCACCTTCTTCATGTGTTCAATCAAAATCCCAAGCAGATTGATCGGAGTGTAGCCGTCCAATACCTCCAAAAGAATTAGGTCCGCTATAGCGGCAATTGATCACCTTTCAGCTCTTGGTAGCAAGACCTTGTTCACCAGCTTGAACACGAGTTGGTATTCTAGAAGTAGTGCTTTCTTGTGTACTCGTTCCCCTTGTTGAACAGCTTGAGGCTTGAGAATAAGCTTCCTAAATCCTGGGGAATAAGTTCCCTCCACAGTTGAGAGCCCCTCAGTAGGCACATCGAGAATATCCCCGAGCACAGCTTCATCAATCATAAGGTCCACCCTATTAACCCTCAAACAGATGGTGTCACCTTCCACTATGAATATTAGCATAGAAACTACTTACTTCCTCCTCATAAACCTTTGGACTCTGAACAATAAAGAGATGAGTCCACTTTTGGAATTCGCAGATTTCAACCAACTGCCTCATGCCTGACTTATCAAGGATATCACTGTCAAAAACTCTACCCCACAGGACTTTTTGCTTTTTTAGTTTTGCTTTCCTTTCAATCTTAGGTGCATCAATTATGGCCTTCTTGGAGGAACCAGGTTCCTCACTACTGCTTGGCTTCGTCTTGAAATACTTTTTTTTCCCAACACATTCTCCTTCTCAACAAACTTTCCCTTCTCACCGGACTTCTCTTTCTCAACACTCTCTTGGCCACCAGTTTTAGCAACCTTTGCAGGTGATACCTTCCTCTCTTTCACAAACACAGTCTTCTTAGATGTTTTACGGACAAGAGGAGCAGGTTCCTCATGTACCTTTTCATCCTCGGCCTCCACAACATTTTCCGGAGGCAAATCCTCCTCATCAACTAGTCTACTTTTTGCAAGTCTTCTTCTCTTCGTTTTCTCCTTATTCTCCTTTAGAGCGTTGTCAAGAGCAACCGTTTTTTGCTACCTAATAGCGGGTCTTTTAGGAATAGACTTTTGAGTATCTTTCCCACCACTCCTAGCATCAATAAACTGGGCTGTCACACTCCTTTTTTCACCCTCACTTAACCCTCTTAAAAATAAATAAAAGGATTTTGCAAAGCTCAAACAAGAGATTTTTAATTAAAAAGTGATAAAATTGTGTTCAAAAAGAAAAAAACTCAGAGTCGCCACCTGACATTGGTTTCAGTGTGCCAGGTCACTGTTTTTTAAAAAATAATTTTCCTTTTAAAACACTTTGGACTCCAAACTAAGTCTGCACCAGAGATTCGGGTAAGCGGGTTCATTTGACTCAGGGAGAAGGTGTTAGGCACTCTCCAAGTCCCGTGAAAGTTACGGTTGCGTACTTGATCTAGTCAGCTTTTAAAATATTCAACTTGTGGTAAAAATAAACATAGAAAAGAAAAATAAACACAAAAGAGGCTCGAGGTCGTTCCCACCTAATAAAAGAAAAATGAAAAGAAAAATAAAGTAAAGTCCTAAATACTAATATATACTATACTTCTTCCACGAGGTTCGTCAAAGCCACAAAAATATTTGCAAAGTTCTTCGGGGCTTTCCCCGGAATAAAATATCTACAAATCCTTTGGGGCATTTTTCGGATAAATTTAACTAAAGGGAGCGACCCCTCACCTCAAAAGAAACTAAAAAACGAATGTCCTAAAGGTTTGCCTAGCAAAATGTGGTCGGCCTAAGAATGCTCCTAGTGATTAAGAAAAATAGAAATAAACTTAAGCTAAAGTATATAAAACTTATTTCCTGATCATTTTTCTTTTGGCTTCCTCATTTCATCTGTTTGACTAAACCCAATTCCTAAAGAATACGAACAAATTAACTACTAATGCGCTTTGGCCTTCCCCCCTCTCCCTTTTCAGTTCTAATGTCCAAAACAGATAATCAACAAAGCATCCATCACGTGAAACTAATAACCACGCAAACAAAGAGATGATGGATGATTTTTTTTAAAAACAAATGGTAAACAAAAAGGGAAAATGAATACTACGCTAGCTCACCCAATTTGAAAGAACATATGTCTGCTTACAATTTCATACAAGCTCACATGATCCATGTTAGCACAGATTTGCAAAGAATAACGTGAAATTTAACTACTTTCTTATAATAAAAGATTTAAAACAAAGAATCAACTTAAACAAATTTGAAATTAACACTGCAACATCACTTAATAGCAACCAAAATGTGACAATTAACCAACACAGAACATTCACATAAGAAATGGTAAAAGACAAAGAGTTTAGAATTGGACCTCGATAATATTAAAAAGAATTCGATTATAGCAAAATACGGACCCGAAAATGAAGCCGCAGCAGGAGCGTCGACCGCGAACCATGAAATTAACCTCAAATGGTACTCCGAATAGGCAGCTAAAATAAAACTTCGATCCTCGATGGACCTCCGAACCAAAAACGGACTGAAACTCCATAGGAGCTCAAGCAATAAACTCCGATAAAATAAATCGAACTCTAACTATGTTTCTGCGTCCAATGAAAGAGTGCAAGAGGCACTTTACCATATAAGCAAGGAAACGAGCCTTCTACTTGAGATACTAAGATTAGGGAGCATATATTTTTTATGCACTCCTCAACAGATTCTTGAGGTGGAAATTTACAACCCTTTAAAAGTGTAACAACATAACAGAGAACATTTTCCCCATTCTTCTGTTTCTCTATTTCGTTTCCTCTCTCCTGTATTCCTTTTTTTGTCGTTTCCTTGTGTGTGTGTTGCAGCTAAATATTAGAGTTTTTCCTAAGGGCCCATGACTGATTGGTGGGTCTGGAGATTTTCGGCGTTTGGAGCTTAGGGTGTTATCCAATGTTTTTTTCCTGGAAGAATGGATCAGCTGTTCCTTTTTGGGACGGAGAACAAGGTCCTTCCTCTGGGTCCAGGGGTCCTTAGTTTTTTTTGTTTGTTTTTGGGTTTAAGGGTATTGGTCTTTAAGATTGGGCTTGGTGAATTGGGTTATAAATTTTAATTCCATAATTTTTTCAATTTGGCTAAAAATATTAATTTCTTTTCTAAAATAATACTATAAAAATGTAAAATTAATCTTAATTAACTAAAACAACTATATTATGACATGAGACTATTTTTGATATTTTCAAGGATTATACTAAAAATGAAAATGGGTTAAAATAACATTTTTCTAAAAATACCTAATACCTTAATTAAATAGAGAAAAATGAAACTATTTTTGTAATTTTCAATTTTATGATAAAAATAAAGTTAAAGAGTCAAAACTAGTTAAAATAACTATATTAGACCTAAACTAAATATTTAAAAGCTAAAAAGGGTAAAATCTCGGGAAGGGTAAAAAATTACATGTCTACAAGGCTACATACAAATTTTCATAATCCTCCTCACTTCCATCTTCTTCTTCTTCTGACAGAGACTTCATTTCATGGTACATAATGTCTAAAGGGGTTGCATCAAGGTGAGAGGAAGGGGTAGAGTCAGTACTGTCCAAGGGCTATTTAGTAGAGCATGGAGTTTTATCCCAAGTAGGAGCAGAGAACTCCTCTTGGGCAGAGGGACCAGGTCCTTCTATAAGTTCCCCTATAATATTGACCGGTGTCGTATCACCTTGAGGCACTCGATCCCTATTCCCTCGCTCTTCCCCCCGAACCCCAATATTCACACAGCCAGACATAGAATCTTAAAATGGACTTCCCTCAGCAACAACAAATAAAATATTTTCATCTTTCTCACCATCATTTTCTAATAGTGCAGAATCAGTAAGAGTGAGTGGAGCATTACCTGATGACAACAACACATTCAGATCAAACTCCTGGACTATTGGGGTTTCAGATACACTGGATGCTAACACATCACCATCTAGACCAGGGACAACTACTTTGACTAGAGACCTCTACACCTTTATCTCCTTCTACTAGTTCTTCTGTGGTTTGGAGAAAATGGAAAGTGGAAGAAGTCCCTCTACTTCCATTTTCTCTGTGGTAGCAAAAGGTGAGGGAGAAACAACAATTTTTTTGGGAATTTGATTTTTTTTGATTGCGATGTGGAGTGAGGGAGGAAGCTGGAGGTGGTGGTTTGCTGGAAATTGGGCTTTCTAAGGGTGAAGGTTGAGACTCCAATCCTGATGGATGTGCTTCATGGGACGAAGACACAACATGGATTTTAGTAGTAGCTTTTGGAGTCTCTGATTGTGGAGAAGAAATGGTCGATTTTGAAGAGTGAAGACACGAGAAGAGGATTTTCAGAGAGATGGAGTGTTTGATGTAGACAACTATGAGAGAGACTGGCCTTTTGGGGGTATTTATAGGGAAAGGAGGGACCGATTACAAATGTACATGATTTAATAAATGGGTAGAGAGGTCGGTTTGAAACGGGGTATCGTTTGGGTTTAAAAGATATGGGAAAGGGAGGAAAAGATTAATGACGTGGCACACTAGTAGTTCAAAAATATGTATGAGTGTAAGAGGGACTACTAACCTGAGTCAAGGGAACCAAGTTCCCTGACTAATTTTGAAAAAATATAAGTATTATCCTTCTAACAAATTGCAATGTCATTAGCTGTTTGTTTGTCCTATAGTTTCCATGCGTGTTTACTTGTAACGGTATAGAATTGAGTTAGAAGTTGCTAGAAAATACTTTTTAGCAATTTACCTTACCATCTTTCATAGCTAGTCATCGAGGGACTAGGTTCTCAGTTCAACTTGATGAAACCCAGCTCCAGTCGATTCTTTTCAAAGTGCTCTCTACTTAGTGCTTTGGTGAATATGTCGGCTACCTGGTCCTCTATCTTGAAAAACTTCATACAAATGAGTCCTTTTTCAATATTGTCCCTCATGAAATGATGTTGCACAATAATGTGTTTTATCCTCTTACTCTGAACTGAGCTTTTTGCCATATTGAGGGCACTTGTGTCGTCTCACAACAGTGGCACACAGTTAGAAAATACACCAAAATCTTATAATTATTGCTTGATCCATAGGAGTTGGGCACAACATGAGGCAGCTGCCACATATTCAGCTTCTGCAGTAGAGAGAGCCACATAATTTTGTTTCTTTGTAACCCATGAAATCAATCATGATCCCAGAAAATGTGTCATGCTAGATGTGCTCTTTATATCCACCAGATAACCAGCATAATCAACATCAGCATACCCAATTAAGTCAAAATTTTCTCCAGAGTGATAATAGAGGACCAGGTCCTGTGTTCTTTTGAGATACCTCAGAGTTCTTTTAGCAACTTTCAAGTGAGATTCTTTAGGATTTGATTGGAATCTAGCACACAACCCAGTACTAAACAGAATGTCACGTCTGCTGGCTGTTAGGTATAAGAGAGATCCAATGATACCCCGATACATAGTTTCATTTGTAAGGTAACCAGGTTCATCCATGTCTAGCCGAGTGGCAGTAGCAATGGGAGTATCAATGGTCTTTTAGCTTTCCATCTAAAACCTCTTCAGAAGCTCCTTAATGTATTTCTGCTGACCTATCATCGTTCCCTTAGAGGTTTGCTTAACTTGTAGACCTAGGAAGAAGTTTCATTCCCCCATCATACTTATCTCAAGTTCTCTTCCTATAAGCTTTGCAAACTCCTCACACAGAGAATCATTTGTTGCACCAAAAATGATGTCATCAACCTAGACCTACACAATTAGCAGGTTCCTTCCTCTTTTCTTTAGAAAAAGAGTGTTGTCAATTTTTCCTCTAGTGAAGCCATTCTCCATAAGGAACCTGGACAACCTTTCTTACCATGTATGAGGGGCATACTTCAATCCATACAAGGCCTTGTCAAGCTTGAAGACATGTATAGGGTGCTCATGGCATTCAAAATCAGGTGGTTGTTTGATAAAAACTTCTTCCTTCAAGTATCCATTCAGAAATGCACTCTTAACATCCATTTGGAACAATTTGAATACCATATGCGATTCAAAAGTAATGAAAATTTTGATGGATTCCAGTCTTGCAACTGGAGAAAATGTTTCATCATACATCAATACCTTCTTTTTGATTATATCCTTGGATCACGAGCATGGATTTATTTATGGTTATATTGCCAAACTCATCAAGCTTGTTTCTGAACACCTACCTAGTTCCAATGATTGTTCTATCTGAAGGTCGAGAAACCAGGTGCCCCACGTTGTTCCTCTCGAATTGATGGAGCTCCTCTTTCATATCAACAATCCAATCAACATCTTTTAATGCTTCCTTGATATTCTTCGGCTCAATTTGAGACAGAAGGCTGAGAAAGCAAACATGTTTTTTGTCTTTGATCTAGTCTGAATTCCTGAATCCAAAGGAGTGATTACGTTTTGGAGAAGATGTGATCTTTTGTGCTTCTAGTTAGACACATGAGTCTCAGGATGTGAGGGACTAGGTTCTACCATATGAGACCCATCGTTAGAATTGATGGAAATGCGAGTACCAATTCTTTTCTCTAGATCAGGAGTGCCTCGTACAACAACAACAACTCTGTTTTCAGCTTCAGTTGATGTGATGGAGGGACCGGGTTCCCCTGAATCAGCTGGAAGTTCTATTGCATCTTTTTCACTAGACTCCTTGACTTCACTCATTAGGTCTGCCTTCCCGTTTTCCATATCAATAACCTCTCTAGGGATCTCTGAATAATCTCCATCTTTATCATTCTTATAATGTGAATATTTTCCATTTGAGTGGTATGATTCATCAAAGATTATATGTACTCTTTCTTCTACATATTGAGTCATTTTGTTGTAGACCTTGTAAGCTTTACTTTGTGAAGAATAGCCAAGAAAGATTCCTTCATCACTCTTAGCATCAAATTTTCCCAACTCTTCCTTACTATTATTAAGAACAAAACACTTGCATCTAAATGCTCTTAGGTAAGTCAACTTTTGTTTTTCTCATTGAGCAATTCATATGGGTTCTTGTTAAGGAGGGACCTGATCAAGTACCTATTTATCAGATAACATGCAGTGTTCATAACTTCAGCCCAAAAGCTCTTTGGTACACCATTGTCCATTAACATTGTCTTTGCCATATCTTCAAGATTATATTTTTTCTCTCCACAACACCATTTTATTGGGGTATTCTGGGAACCAAATATTATGACTTATACCATTTTCAGCAAAACATTCATCAAAGTTTTCATTGTCTAACTTGGTTCATGATCAGATCTCATGCTCACAACATTATGGCTCATCTTTACTTAAATCTGCTTCACAAAAGTAGAAAAGACTGGAAAGGTTTCTGTTTAACCAAAAAATAGAATTTTAGTCAAATCTAGAATTTAGAAGAACGCGGGTTACTGATAATCAAAAGAATATGTAGAAGAAAGTAATTTGAGGTAACCAGAATATAATCAGGAGAAGAACAAGTGAATCAAAGTATATTCCAATCATATCTTGTGTTTACAAGTGACCAGATACCTCCCTTTTATAGGTATCTTGAAGATATGCGTTTTCCCCAAATCATAATGAGGCTATTATGAATAATTAAAGACATTTAATGCTAAGTTACACAATTATTGTAATTAATACAAATACTCTAACGTATCCAGTATTTAATGCTTGTCAAATTCCGTATCCGCGCTCTTTATTGTGATCAGATCCATTCCTTTTGATAAATGACATAAATAGGTACGGGCACTGAATCCTTCGAATGTCCTCCCGTGCCTTTTCCTTTGCCTTTGCTCGTTTCTATTGCTGCCCGTACCTCTTGACTAATTATAATTCTTTGACTATTTAACCACTCCACGTGTCTCAGCATGTTACTTACATATATAAATCCAATTTTTTCAAATACAGATAGTCCCCCCACTTTCCATTTATTCATCAATTGAATATTTGGGAAGTAGATTTCATTAAAACGAGAATTTTTGTCACCATTAATGCTATGACAAAATTGACGCTTCAATTGTCACTTCCATTTAATATTCCGTACACGTATCGATTTCCCATTGGCTCTGCAGTTTTTGCAGCCTTTTTGCAAGGTTTTTACGGTTCCACTATTAATGAAGTGCCAGTTATCATAATTATGGTCTTTCCACCTCCGCACTTTTACCTTTGGCGGTTGCTTATCAGTATAAATATAACTCTTTCCCTTGTCTTTTATCACATAAAGCTTATTGAACACTTATTTCTCCAAATTCTGTTTACTTCTTCCTTAAATCATTCTTCTTTGATATGTCTTCTCCAAGCCCTAACCCTGAGAGAGTTTCCATTACTGACTCCTTCCCCAATGCCCCTGTTAGGCACAGAAGGGGAGGTAGACTTTGTAGTTTTGGATCTATTCGAGGTAGTTCGTCTACACCTTCTTCTAGTTCTGGTCCTTCTTCTAGAACCAGAGGTTCCCTTTCTCACAAATCTTCTTCTCGGGGTATAGATCATTCTGAACCTTTATGCAAACCTTTAGTAGATGATATAGTCCCTTCAGAATTGTCTTTTACTATGATAGGGAATCTCTTATAAACCAGGTTTCCGCATTAGATCATGTCGATGCTTACCCCACTCAAATTACAGAGGTTTTGACTCCTATGGTTCGTAAGGACTGTCACTGGAGTAATGATTTTCCCATTATTATCCCTAATCTAAATTAGAGAATTACTTTCTATTTAACTGGGTTCTCTTTTGTTTACACTTACCCTTTTACTTTAGGGTTTAGACCAGCAATCGACCCAGTCATTCTTGAAATTTGCCGTTTCTTCAATGTCTGCTTGGGTCAAATTGGCCCAATCATATGGAGGGTTGTTGCCTGTTTAAGGCATTTAGCCACTAAAGCCGAAGCTCCTTTTACTTTCCCTCACTTGATTCATCTTTACTCACCTAGGCTTTTTCGCAATGGTGTTTTTACACTAGTAGCCAGGAGTAAGAGAGTTTTGGTGAGCCCTGAAGATGACAAGGATCGTGGCTGGTATGCCCGATTT